TGATGAAAGCTTTTGCTGGTGTGCACTTGAACCGGGTAAGCAACGGGATGAACCCCTAAAACAACCCTGAGTAAACACAGGAACCAGGAGGCGCAAGCTAGCAAGATGGCCCCTTCTGTCGCGCATCCAGCCTGCATGCGTTGGACTTGCTTGTGGAACGCCTTCCTTAGTCAGGTTCTTGACGCTCGGGCCGGGCAGAAAATGGCATGCTGAGAGGAGGGATCGATCTCCAAGACAAGCACGAGCGTCCGTCCCTTCGCCTCCCCACTTCGCGGTCGCGTAGACGTCCTTGCCCCAACCTCTTTCCAGAAGGCAGTGCCTCCCAAGCAGCTTGCATGATGATGAAGACCCAACCCAAACGTGCGTTGCGCTTGAGGCACGGGCCCAGCCTGCGTCATCGAGTTGTCAGACAGGTGCCTTGGCTTCCCAACAGCTGCCGCTCGATGAGCAGGGGGCGTACAGGCAGGCATGCCTGCAAGCGAGCCGCAAGTTGAAAACGAAAGTTTGTCCAGGTACCTGTCACCGGTATGTCATGTCTCTGCGGCCGCGGATGCTGACAAGTTGATGCGGTCTAATGGCACCAGCGCCAACAAAGCGGTGCACCCTCTCCGTGCCTTCGCCACCGAAAGTGTCAATGTGGACAATGGTGTTTTCCATCTCGCCGGCATATGTGCTGAAACGGATCCTCAGCTGCTGATCGAAGCTTCAGTGAGCTGCCTCTGCATGCCTCTGCCAACCCGTCATTTTCGGCCCAGGGTCACGTTGACATCCACGCATGTTTGGTGGAAGATGCGTGGCCCACAGGAAACGTTCAACAAAGGCGTCATCGATCCCCAAAGGGGCTTTTCGGCAGAGGCCAGCCGCGAGAAGCCTGCGCGCTTCTGGAAGCGTGCCAGGCCAAATGCGCGTGACCTTTGACGAAACGTTGCTTTGCACTCACAGCACGACAAGATACCATACTTCGGGCCCAGGGACAGATGTCAAGAACGGACATGTCCTGACAGCGCACCGTACAACATAGCACAGAGGTTAAGTGCAAGACGCCTTGCAGTTCTGCCACGAAAGTCGTGCTGCAGCGGGTTCACACACGGCAAAGCAGGTTAAAACTACACAGCTCGACACACTGCTTGCTGCGAAGGATCAAAGAGGATAGGCGCCATGGCGAGAGAGAGCGGATGCTGGCGAAGAAATCGCAGCCAGGAGTCGGGCAGATGGAAGAGGCTTGAGGCGACGTGTCAGTGAAGTTCGGCTTCTTGCCAAAATCCAGTTGCAGCGAGGTGAAGATCTTCGGGAGCTTCTGGGCCAAGGCCTCCAGCGATTTGAACGTGAACTTCGGGTTCTTGTCAAAATCCAACTGCAATGAGGTGAGATTCTCGGGGAGCTTCTGGGCCAACAAGGCCTGCAGCAACGTGTCCGTGACTTTGGAACTCTGGCCAAAATCCAAGTGCAATACTCACG